TGAGCTGGGTCGGGCCCCGAAGTCGAGCGGCGAATGGCCCATCGTGTGGTGGGTGGTGGGTGGGGCCCGCGACATTCCCGGAAGTCGGTTGTGAGTGAGCCGGGATTCCCGGAAGTCGGTCGAGTTCCTCTTCCCGGCTCTTTCCTGCTCGGGTGGATTAGGTCGGCGGGCTCCCCGAGATCTTCCGGCCAAGGATCCCAGCTTGACTCTTAAAGCGAGTTGGGAGGACACAGGAAAAGAAATGTTACCTAGTCCTAGAAACCGACGCCCGCGCTCCCGGAATTCGGGCGCAAGGCTCACTGTCCTAGGCTCAGCCACTTGCTCCTCGGAGCTTTTGGCGTAAAGCCGTACGAGGGCGGAGACCTCCCCTCCGGCCACGAAAGCTGTGTGACTTTGGGACAGGACCTTCGGTTTTATTATTTTGGTGGGAATGATGAGCTTTCATTGCGGTTTCAGTAAATTACAGTCGCCTTTGCTGTTGCCATAATAGGGTTAGTAGGTGTGTCTGCCTGGGACTTCTTACCGACCTTTGAAAGGACCTTTTTGTTGCACTTGGGGACACAGCGGGTTGCAAGCACAATCAAAAGCATTTCCCCATAATTTTAGACGTGAACTAGCAAATGGGAAAGAAGAGTCAACAGCCCCATTGCCCAAAGCGGCTGATGTCATAACCCTAGGAGACCTCTTCGGTGGTCAGTGGCATTTGCTTTTATGAAGAAGATTAGTTCCATCCTTAAAAGCATTTGACAAAAACCCGCAGGAAGTGTTTGTGTGTGTCGGGGTGAGTAGGGGGTGACGCTGCTCTTTGTGTCCTGCTGATGGTTTGTCTCTTCCTTGCTCAGAACTTTTATTTCTGATAAAGCCTAAGGCTGTTATAATCAACCAGCTTTGCAGAAGTCCCTTTCTTCCCTGGTTTACACTTGAAGAAATCAAGGCTGAGTCAACTTTGGAATGTAGAGTGACAGTACTTGATTTGCAGTTTGTAACCACCTGGTTAGTGCTAGATTAAGGAAGAAATGGTAGTCAATTAGAAATGTGGAAAACCGAAGCTCTTCTAAACACAGAAAGTGGAGACTCTGCCTGTTTAAAATTTAGGGTGTATTGTCATCGTTATTATTACTAATAAAATAGCAATAACAATTATTTAATTTTCATTTTCCTCAATCTGCCCTATATTCACCACTAGAGATACGTTCCACTTTCAGGATTGTGAATATTATTAATAAAAAGTCTTAAAATACCAATTTCCAAAATGGCAAACTATGATTTGGTGCTTATTAATCCATAATATGTTAATACCATTAATATGATCTGGGAATTTGAAAAATATACCTTCGTATGCTTTGGTTGGATATTATACTCTGGCAAAAGTGATTGTATTAACCTGTAGAATATTTATTCTGAACCATATATTTTCATGTTTTTAAAATTTAGTCTATATTCCTCATATTTGTGATTATAGGATACTGATCTAATATAGGTGAGCAGGATTACAAGATTGGGTACTTGCATCTGATTTTTAACAAGGACAGATTATAGTTTGCTATCTAGATGAAGTAGCATGTTGTTAGTGAATTAACAGTGGAAGTTTGAGTGAAGAGTCAAAGGCTCTGCCACTTCAGGTGACTCATTCAACTCCAAATTTTAGTTTCTTTGTTTGTAAATTGGATTAATGAGACTAAAACTTATTTCACGGTGTCACAGTGTGCTAATGGACATGATAATGCGGTTAAACTTCTTCAGTCTTGTATCTTGTTCATCATTTGGCTCTTCCTTGCTCAGAGTTCTCATTCATCTGGGGAAAGCATCAAGCTATATAATCATAAAACTTTAGAGAAGTCCAAGTTAGATACATGAGTAAAGTCAGAGTCCTATTAGCAGGGAAAGGGCAGTGGGTGGGTGGGGGCAATAATAGGTAAGCAACCAACATTTTTTTGTCAGACTCATTATGGTCATTGAATTGAAAAAATCATCCTCTACCCCTGAAAGGTTAAATATATTTTCTAAAGCCTTTAAAAAACTTTTATTTATTTTTTGTTAATCCTCTCCTGAGGATATTTTTCCATTGATTTTTAGAGTGGAAGGGAAGGGGAGAGACCAAGAGAGAAACATCGTTGTGAAAGACACACATCGATTGGTTGCCTCCACATGTGCCCCATCTGGGGCAGGTATCAAGCCTGTAATTGAGGTATGTGCCCTTGACCAGACTTGAACTTGGCCCTTCAACCACTGAGCCAAACTGGCCGGGACTAAAAAACTTCTTTATTGATGTATAACATGTAAGGAAAGATGTACAAATCATAATTGTACAGCTGTATGTAGAATCATTGCTATCCCTCCTGAAACCCCCCTATACCTCCTCTCATTCACTATCTCCTGTCTCCCACCTGTTAATACCATAAATTAATTCTGCCTGTTTGGGGGGTATTAATTATTTTTCATTTATATTTTTCCCTGGTTTTATTGAGATATAATTGACAAACATTAATTGAATATAGGTCTGAATAATTTAATATACAGACTCAACTGCCTTATAGATAGATACTTCATGAAATTTCTTGGAATTTTTAATCAGTATCAGTGGGAAACTTTTGCTTCTCTGAGTCCCTGAATCAATATCCATTTATCCCACTACAGTGGACACAATTAGTTGTCATAACATGAGATAACAGGCCAGTGTGCTTTCCTTACTTGCCGTGTAACGTGGCTTTATAAGGTGGTTTATACCTGCCTACAGGCAGTGTTTCTGTGACTCATGGGTATGTAAACCACTGACAGGGCCTTCCTGCTTATAAAGTTGAATTGTTAATGGAAGAAAAGGGAGTAAAGAGTAAAAATTAGAAATCATTGGAAACAATGGAAAAGTTAATAGATTAAGGAAGATCAGACTAAACCAGCAAACTGCCAGACTTATAAGGAGAATTGACTTGGGACGGGAACCAACCTCACAGAGTGCAGTGGACTCACCTGGAGGCCTTCACGAGAGCATCATGCTCACAGAAGACACTTCAAGTCTTAGTTGTCTTGGCAGATTTGGGGAGGTAAGACCTGAGCTGAAGGAGAGATCCAAATAGAACTCATAAAACTGAAGTTTTATACCCCAATAGGTGTATTTCAGGACATGTTTCCTTAATCTGAGTTTTTCTTAAATGTTTTTAAATATTCACATATAAAATCATTTTTGAAGCCTGCTAGATGTATTTCAGAGTGTGAATGGGCCATAACTTATTCTTTCCTCTGTATATGTAAATTGTTCTATATGGTTTTTGTTCTCTGTAAGGTTACTGGGAACATCCTTGTATGTACATAATTTTTATCAGCATCTCTGATTTGATTCCTCAGAATAAAGAACTTTTGAGTTCCTTTAAAAATTGTCATTATTAAAGTAATTTGTGTTTATTATAGAAAATTTGTGAAATCTAATAAAAGTGTAAAGAAGAAAATAAAAATCATCCTGCCATCCAAATATATGCCTTGCTAACATTTCGGTATCTTTCATTACATATGTATATCTAACTTACAGCCTACAATTTTGAATGGCTAAATAATATTCCATTTTATGAATGTGCCATAATTCACTTAACTGTACCCTTTATTTTGGAACAATTAAAGAATTCTTTAAAAAAATAATTGTCCATTCAATGATCAACTGTCACATATCAGGTTCTGTGCTAGGCACTGGAGACAGTGAGCAAGTGTGTCCTACCTTCTGTGAGGTTTCTTTTTTAAAAAATTTCTTTATTGATTAAGGTATCACATATGTGTCCTTATCCCCCCACTCCCTCCCCATTATCCCCCCAAACCCCCGCACTCATGCCCTCACCTCTGTGAGGTTTCTTAGAAATCTCAAATTACAGCTGTCTTAACTCTTTCAAGGGAGAAATACAAGGTTCTGTGGAAATGTCTAATGGGAAGACTCAGGCTGGCTTCCCTGAGGTATGATAAAGTCTGAGACCTGAAGGATGAGTATCATGTAGCTAGGAAAAGACTGTACCTAAAGGGGTTGTAATGGAAGAGCGGGGTAAAATACCCTCCTAAGATGGGTTCTGTGTGCTGCAGAGGATCTATAGAAATTGAAAAGGAGGCCTAAAACAAATGCTGAAATATGTTTTATTTCTTACACCAATTCACAAGGATTGGTCAGTGAAGAACTGCTGAGCAAAGTGATGTCAGCTGCCTGTTGCCATTTGCAAAGCCTAGAAAATGGGATGAATGTGGGCAGCTGGGCCAACCAGAGCCAGAGCCATAAAACAGGCGACAAATGTGTTTTCAAATGTTTGTTCTTATATAATCCTTATTGGTCCTGTGACGCCGTCATTATTTCCTTTTGAAAATGAACAAAGTGAGGCTTATGTGAAGTACCCAAGGCACAGAGCTAATAAATTACAGAACTAGATTTCAATCAAGAGAAAGGAAGGCCAGTGCTTTTCCCCCCATCATGATGGCCTCCACTCCCTCACCTTCAATGCCTGCTTCACCCTGTGTCCTCTCAGTCTTCATGAGTGAACAGCCTCCCTCCTCCCCCACCTCTGACCCACAGATGGGCTACTTTTTCAAGGGTGCTTCCTCTTGTTTGGTGATGACTCATATTACAGGTGATGACTCACATTACAGGAAGGTGGTCCATGGTGCCCTCTACTGTTCTGATATGTGCACGTGGTTGGGTGGCAGGGCCCACCCATAGCCTTTGTACAAGATGTAGAGGCTGGTGACCTGAGCCCAACTGCAGCCAGCCACCGCACAAGACCACTGTCAGCCCAGGCATTTTCAGAAACCCTTCCAGGTACTTTTATTTTTTAAAATTTCCCCACTCTTCAACATCTACACAAATAAAAGAGAAAGATGCAAATTGACTGTACCTTCACAATGCCCACCAGCCAATCAGGAATGAGTATGCAAATTAACCCAACAAAGATGGTGGGTTAATTTGCATACGCAGGTGCTAAGCACCAGGAGCGGGGTGGGACGCTTGCGTTCTGCACCGCCCCAGCTGCTCTGGACCTCTGGGCAGCGTGGGAAGGCGGAAAGGCGGCTCCGGGCAGAACCAAGGCAGAAAGGCTGCTCCAGGCCAGAGCGAAGGTGGTGCCAGCAGCCAGGGGAAGGAAGGCTCATTCTTGCATGAATCTTCATGCATCGGGCCTCTAGTTTTATTATAAAAACTTCAAAGTTAAAAAGTTTTTACAGTGAACTCACACATATCCACCATTAACATAATTTTACTCTGCTTGCTTTATTGCATAGCCATCCATCACTTATCCCTTTCTCTATCCACCAGTCTGTCTGCAAAGTAAGTCAGCGATATCAGTATACTTCCCCCTAAGTATTTCAGCATGCACACCACTTGCTAGAGTTCAATATGTTTACACATTTTTCTTTTGATGTAAAATGTACCTGCAGTTCCGAAGAGTATTACCTGCTGAGTATTGGCCAATGCTTATGCCTGTATAACCTTAACTCCCCACTGAGATGCTAAAACATTACCTTCACCCCAGAAAGTCCCCCATGCCTCATCCCACTCAATCCTTACTCTGGCCCCGGCAACCAGTGTTCCTTTAACAACACAGATTAATTTGACTGTTCTAGAACTTCATATAAATGGAATTATATAGTATACATTCTTGTGTAAAAGGCTTTACTCAGCACAATGTATTTGTGATTCACTCACATTGTTGTGTATATTGGTAGTTTGTTTCTTTTTATTTCTGGGTAGTGTTCCATTGTATGAATATACCACAGGGGCTTTTTGCCCATTCTCTTATTGATAAATAGCTGTTTCCAGTTTGGGGCTATTACCAATAAAGCTGCTATGAACCCTGCACAAATCTTTTGGGACATATGTTTTCATTTCTCTTGGCTTGGAATTGCTGGGTCATAGTGTAGGTATATGTTTAGTTTTATAAGAAACTGCCAGACCTTTTCCCAAAGTGATTGTACAATTTTATACTCCTACCAACACAATGGGAATCCAGTTGCTTCATATTTTCGCCATTATTTGTATATTCTGGTGAGTATGTAGTAGTGTCTCGTGCTGCCCCATGGATTTTTATTCTTCATTTCAATTTAGGGAAACTGAATGAATACAGTGAATGGAAGAAGAGTAGAAGGATGAAGCAGATAGTTCTTCTTTGAAATTGTATGCATTGTATACTTCATAGCATTGATGTACGGATTCTCCAAATCCTAATTTTTTTCACATCTTCCTGTTCTTTTTAGATAGTGCATCGTTCTTTTGATATTCTTCAAATTCCTTCTTAGGTTCATAATTACCTTAGAGCTATTCAGCAATTTAATTACCTATAATGCCTAATATTCAGCTGAGTCTGGTTCATGATGAACTTTTTCTTTGTGTTTTATAATTTTGGAAAGGGAGCCTACGTTAACTTAGTTCTTTATTTCTGGGAATCTTGTCTGGCCTGGCTGGATTGTGTTGTGTTTGCTTTAGGATTATAATCCAGAGATCCCATCAGTCTTGACCACTTTCTATGTAAAAGTTCTTGCTTTGGGGAGTCATGGCTATAAGAATCCTGGCTACATTCAAAGCTCAAGTCTATTTGAGGACAGCCCCAAGGTTATGAATTCACAGACATTTTTTATACCCCAGGCCCAGTGTAAGATGAGTTCCTTTGCTAATGGACTGCTTTTTTTCTAGTCCATCCTTTCATGGAAGAGTAGGGGAGCACACCAAGGAGTGCTGCGTTAAGGGAGATCTTTCTTTCAACCCTCTTCTTGCATTTCCTGACCTCAGCTCTTGTCCCATCTGGGTTTTGGTCCCTGGCTTATGGATAGCGAGTTAGTTGTGCCCAGAGGGCCACTGTCTTAGTCATTTCACTGCTAGGACAGATTTCAGACTGGGTGTCTTAAACAAAGGGCATTTATTTTTCACAGTCCTAGGGCCTGAGAAGTCCACCATCAAGGTGCCAGCAGACCTGTGTGTGGTGAGGGCTCCCTTACAGGCCATCTTCTTGTGCCCTCACGTGGTGGAGAGAGAGAGAGAAGGAAACTAATCTCCACCTTCCTGACCGAATTACCTTCCAAAGGCCCCACCTTCTAATACTACTTATTGGACTTCAATGTGTGAATTTGGGGATGTCCCGAACATTCAGTCCACAGCAGCTACAGTGTGGGCCATGGCTTGTGGCCAGTGCCCTGTGTGTGTTCAGTCCCTGGGGTTTCCTTCCTGCTGACCTAGCTGTGCATGGGAGTGCATGTTTGTATTGTGTTACCCGACATATATGGGTCCTTTGTAGCAGGAGGGTTTTCAAACTTTTCTAGTCCTGTGTGTTGCCAGAAATGAAAATCTAAGGAATCAAAATTGTGGTCTTCTGTGATTCTTAGAAATATGGGGAAACGTTCATTATAAGTCTATCCTCAAAAAATCGTCCACCAAACACGTGGTTTTAGTATGAGTTTTCTGCACTGAGATGGTTTCTTGTTTTCTTTACAGGGCACAGCTCTGAGGTGAAGAAAAGGTGGTGTGTTTTTGAGCATTCTGAGCATCGGAAGGAAACCAGACATGTCCTTGGATGACATTAAGATGAAATCCAGTGACTTCCTGGAGAAGGAGCACCTAGACAGCGGGGGCTTCGGGAAGGTGTCTTTGTGTTTCCACAGGTCCCATGGGCTCGTCATACTGAAGAAGGTGTACACGGGGCCTAAGCGAACAGAGTGAGCGGGGAGCTGGGCGGGTGGACCCGCTGGGGCTGGCCCCAGGGGGTGGAGGCTGCAGAGGTGCAGGGCTGCGGTGGGGAAGGCTGGCACTGGCTTTAGAATGAGACAGCCCATGGTGTAAGTGTCAGTATATGGGCTCATGTCCAACAACTCTATAAGGTGGTTGCTGTCCCTGTATAGCTGACAAGGATTTTGAGGCTGGTTTATGAAAAGGTTACAGCTGGTAAATAATGGACAAGAAATGAAGGGAAGAAAGTAGACAAAGCCCAGGCTGGTGTGGCTCAGTGGTTCAGCATTGACCTATGAACCAGGAGATCACAGTTCAGTTCCCAGTCAGGTCACATGCCCGGGTTATGGGTTCGATCCCCAGTGTGGGGTGTGCAGGAGGCTGCTGATCAACGATTCTCTCTCATCATTGATGTCTCTCTCTCTCTCTCTCTCTCTCTCTCTCTCTCTCTTTCTCTTTCTCTCCCTTCATTTCTCAAATCAATAATATATATATATATTTAAAGTAGAGAAAGGGAAGGAGATCAGGGTGATGAGGAAGGTGATGAAAAGGAAATGGGAGAGATCAGTGAAAATAGACTTGCTCCACATGTTTGGTGAGGACTAGTCCTAAGTATGGAAAAGAAAAGAAAGTGCTTCATTAATTAGCGGTTCCAGGAACCCTCTCTTTAAAACAGTTGGTAGTGCTGTTTTACTTCCCCTTCTTGCCACAGTGGTTATGATCGAGGCTGCATTTTCCTTACACTGTCCAGCACAGTCCTTTTCTTGGACCATGTGTTGCTGCTGCTCTTCACGTTACTGTTCTCTCATTCGCTCAGCAGGGTGACATTTCTTAAGGGCTCCCTGCCAGCCGCTGGGAGGAAAAACCACTCTGCCTTCTACAGCTTGTAGTCAGTGCCTGGCAGAGACCAGTACAACAAGTAGTGACAAAAGCACGTGCGCCGGGATGCCCGGGAGACGTGGGCTGCATTGGCGGGCGCACAAAGGGAAGAGGGGCTAACTGCCCATCCTCACAGCACCTTTCCCTCCCACAGGTACAACGCGTCCCTCCTTGAGGAGGGCAAGATGATGCACAGGCTGAGACACGAGCGGGTGGTGAAGCTGCTGGGCATCATCATGGAGGAGGGGAACTACTCCCTGGTGATGGAGTACATGGAGAAGGGCAACCTGATGCACGTGCTGAAGGCCGAGGTACGGCTCCCCCCGCAGAGTGCATGGCGACTCCGTGCACTTGTCTGAGATGGTTGTGCTCCGCGTTCTTTTGTAGATGTTGGTGAAAAATAATCCTTTCGCAAATTGTTAGATATTTTGGATTTTCTGGTCAATCCTTCATTAAATCCTCCATGACTCTCCCTGCTCAGAGAGGGGCCGGGCCCTTCTCTCCTCCCTGCAGACAGTCTCCTGGGTCCCTGCTGTCAGCCACTCTGAGATCCACAATTCAGAGACAGACCCTGTCTGCATGAAGCACAGGGTCTGATGAGGGGTATATGCACAATAGATAGCAATCACATATTAATTGATTGATTAAAGAGTGTATTCTATAAAGGCCCGTATGAGAAGGAGTATTAATGATTGCACACTGATACCATTTAAGAAACTTAATGTACAGCATTAGAGGCAACAACACTGGAGAAGTAAGACTTAAAACAGGAAAATAACAAGTTTACCAAAACCAAGTAAGTCTAAAGCACTTCTAAAAGTTTATGTATCTGTTAAGAGGAAGGCCTTGTGCTAATTGCTCGGGAAGCAGTAGCAAATAAGACATAGACAAGTAAAGGGGGCAAATAGTGTGTGATGTTTTGATAGACCACTTCATTGTGTGCTATGGGAACACGGAGGAGAGAAACACACTCTAGCATGGGCAGGTAGGAAAGGATTCCAGAAGGAGGATGCTTGAGCCAAAATCTGAAGGAAAAGTAGAGGGTTTGAAGCAGAGAATTAGGGATAAGTGTTGCAGGCAGAGAGAATGGCATGTGCCAAGGAACAAGAGTATGCCAAATTTGGGAAACTGCAAATAACTGGGTTTGGCAAAGCATAGATTGCCTGTGGGGGTGGTGGGATATGATTGTCTCTATGGCAAATATCTTCCACTTTTCCATTTTCTCCCCTGGCCTCACAGCTGCTGAAGCTATGCCAATTCTTCTAAGTCACAGACATCTCTCACGAATACCATGGGAAAGATACAAGATACAACATAATCACTTGTACACATTGTATTATCATTTGATCAGATTGCTCTTCTCTCCAAAACTAGTTAAGATCAGGTGCATGAAGGAAGCAGGCAAAGATAAGGTGCACTAATAGGCTTAACAAGAAAATCAGGAGCATGGAGGGAGAGAAACAGAAAGAAGGATGTGAAGGGGATCTACAGTGCTTGCTCAGAATTTTTTCCTAACTGCAAAGGTACACCGTGGAAGAAGGGAGGATCTCTGGCCATTTTGGTATGGTGGTGATGAGGCTATAAATACTGCAGTTCAGCTGCGGTATGACGCAGATATGATTTGGGGGCTTCACTTTGGAGTCTAACTTCCAGCATTTGAATGTGCCAACAGGCACATACATTTTTAGGAAGCAGCCTGTTGGGAGTGAATGCATGAGAAATATAGAAGCTAGAAGAGGGCCCCCCAGGAAATGCCATTCCAGGGAGGGACAGAGGAGGAGGGCCTTGTAAACCAAACAAGATTGTGTGGTATTGCAAACCAATCTACACTAATAAAAGAGAAACATGGTAATTAGCGTACGACCGCTACCCTTCCCATTGGCTAATAGGCATATCCTTATGCAAATTAACTGTCAGCCAAGATGGCGGCCAGCAGTCATGCACTGAAGCGAACAGGGAGGCTTGCTTGCTCCAGTGACTGCGGACTCCAACGTTCCCCGCCTGACTTGCTGGCCTCTCAGCTGCAACTCTAAGCAACTATGTTGCAAATATAGAAGCTAAACAAAACCCTAGAAACCGGCTTTCAGTCAGCCGGGCTTCAGCCAGCCGGACTGAAACATTGTATCAAATACAGAAGGTAAACAAAGACCAGAAACCTGCTTTCAGCAATGAGGCCTCAGAGCTAAAGCTGTCCCAGAATAAAAAAAAAAAAAAAAGAAAGAAAAAAAGGAGCGGTTGGGAGCTTCAGTCACCCGCCAGCCTGAAAACGGCCCTCAGCCCCTCACCCAGACTGGCCAGGCACCCCAGTGGGGACCCCCACCCTGAAGGGTGTGTGACCAGCTGCAAACAGCCATCATCCCCTCATCCAGGCTGGCCAGGCACCCCAGTGGGGACCCCCTGATCCAGGACACCCTTCAGGGCAAACCAGCCGGCCCCCACCCATGCACCAGGCCTCTATCCTATATAGTAAAAGGGTAATATGCCTCCTGGCACCGGGATCAGCGGAGCAGCGAGGGTCCCAGCACCGGCACCAGGATCAGCGTGACAGGGGGCAGCGCCCAAACCCCCTGATCACCCTGCGGCTCTGTGAGTGACAGGGTGCGGGGCCACAACCTCCCTATCCGCCCTGCTCTGTTCGTGACAGGGGAAGGCGCCCCAACCCCCTGATCAGACCTGCTCTGTGCCTGATAGGGGGAAGCTCCCCAATCCCCTGATCGCCCTGCAGCTCTGTGTTTGACAGGGTGCGGTGCACCAACCCCCTGATCGGCCCTGCTCTGTGTGTGACAGGGTGCGGCGCCCCAACCCCCCCCCCTCACGGGCCCTGCTCTGTGTGTGACAGGGTAGAGCCATAACCTCTCCATCGGCCCTGCCCTGAGTGTGACAGTGGCGGCGCCCCAACCCCCTGATCGGCCCTGCTCTGTGAGTGACGGGGTGGCATCGCAACCTCCCGATCCGCCCTGCTCTGTGCATGACGGGGTGGTGCCCCAACTCCCCAATCGGCCCTGCTCTGAGCCTGACCAGGGGCTGCACTTAGGGATTGGGCCTGCCCTCTGCCACCCGGGAGCAGGCCTAAGCCAGCAGGTCGTTATCTCCCGAGGGGTCCCAGACTGCGAGAGGGCACAGGCCGGGCTGGGGGACCCCCCATCCCCCCCGAGCGCACAAATTTTAGTGCACCGGGCCTCTAGTATAATTATAAGAATGACCTGAGAGTCTACAAAACCTGAAGTGCCTGATAAAGTCATAAAATAGATATTACATTCATTTCAGCATTAAGGACCTTATATTATCTCATTGATTAATCTTTCCATGTTTCTAATCAGTGTGAGCCCATTCCCTTGTATTTTTTCTTTTAACATTATTTCATGCACACATTTCCATGACATTTTTCATATATTTAATACATAGTAGAACATCATATTAGTATACCATAGAGAATGTTTGTTTTTTTGTCTATTTACCCATTCATTCACCAAACATTCCAGGATGCTAGTAGGTAGTAAGCATGCATCCTAAACAATAATAATCCTATATAATAAAGAGGTAATATGCAAATTGACCCTCATGCCCTTACAAGATGGCCGCCTATGACTAGGCCGGCAGGGAGGTTAGTGAGGGATGACCAAACGACTGAACAAGCAGGCTGCGTGGGGCGACCATGCTGGCAGGGTGGTTAGTGAGGGACGACCAAACGACTGAACAGCAGGTTGCGTGGGGTGACCAGGCTGGCGGGGGGAGGGGGCAGTTGGGGGCGACCAGGCCAGCAGGGGGGGCAGTTGGGGGTGACCGGGCTGGCAGAGGGGGGCAGTTGGAGGCGACCAGGCCGGTGGGGGGGGGCAGTTAGGGGTGACCAGGCTGGTGGGGGGGTTCAGTTGGGGGTGACTAGGCTGGCAGGGGGGCAGATGGGGGCAATTAGGCTGGCAGGGGTGGCAGTGAGGGGCAACTAGGCCGGTGGGGGGGCAGTGAGGGATGATCAGGCCAGCAGGGCAGGGCAGTTTGGGGTGATCAGGCCAGCAGGCAGGTAAGCAATTAGGAGCCAGCGGTCCAGGATTGTGAGAGGGATGTCTGACTGCCGGTTTAGGCCCAATCCCTGGTATCGAGCCTAAACCAGCAGTTGGACATCCCCCAAGGGGTCCCGTATTGGAAAGGGTACAGGCTGAGCTGAGGGGATCCCCTCTCTCCCCCGTGCATGAATTTTGTGCACTGGGCCTCTAGTAATAATAATAATAATGATAATCTACTTATATAAAAACCATGGGTGGTGTTCGTCACATACAGATGAACAGCGACCGAGCGGAAGGAAGTCAGTACTATGGGGGTTGTCTTGGCAATGGCTGCGCCCTTCCCCTAAGCTGTTTCCCGGTGCTGTTTCCTGAAAGGGCGGAGTTTGAGGCAGGAACCTGCCCTGGGAGTGTGGAGGCAGATCTTTCTAAAGTGTGCTGCACCAGCATAGGGTGAACCTGAGTGGGGCAGCTGAAAGGCTTAGAATAGACAGACAAGAGAATGAAAGCTGGGTCTCGGCGGGACACAGCTTCTCTGAGAGACAGCGACCACGCCCACAGCCATGCCTTTATTTTATAGCAGATGCTACGAGGCAAAGTAAGGGCGTGACCAAGATGTTTACAACATTCTCCTGGGTTTCAATCCTACTCAACTACATGCACCTGAACTCTATCAAACCCACATCACTTAGGCACGTGGGGCCACGTGTTCCGACCATAGGTTCAAGCTTACAACTACAGCTGTTGGCTATAATTGTGCTGGGAGGGCCCTGCCCTCCAAGCTGGGACTTGCACATGGCAATTAGAGGATTGTGCCCTCTCATCAGTCCAAGGCTTGAACCTGTCCAAAACACTGTAGTGGCTCCCCACAATAAAGTTTTAATTCTGTTTCTTTGTTACTAATGTTGTGGCCCCACACCATAACAAAGAAACAAAGGAAAATTTCCCCATCAAATTTCTGAATAGTATTACTCCTTCGGGAATGCCGTGTCATAAATTAAAATTGAAAGTGGGTGCAATCATCATGCTATTGAGAAATCTCAATAGTAAATGGGGTCTTTGTAATGGTACCAGATTTATTATCAAAATATTACGACCTAACATTATCGAAGCTGAAGTATTAACAGGATCTGCAGAGGGAGAGGCTGTTCTGATTCCAAGAATTAATTTGTCCCCATCTGACACTGGCCTCCCATTTAAATTGATTCGAGAATGGTTTCCCATGATGCGAGCATTGGTGATGACTATTAATAAATCACAAGGACAAACTCTAGACAGAGTAGGCATTTTCCTACCTGAACCCATTTTTGCACATGGTCAGTTATATGTTGTTTTCTCTCGAGTTTGAAGAGCATGTGATGTTACAGTTAAAGTTCTAAGTACTTCATCACAAGGGAAATTAGTCAAACACTCTGAAAGTGTTTTCATTCTTAATGTGGTGTACAGGGAGATATTAGAATAAGTTTAATCACTTTATCAGTCATTGTTTGCATCACTATTGTTTTTAATATCATGTTTTTGTTGTTTTCATATCATGTTTTTGTCGTTTTTATATCATGCCTCTGTTGTTGGTATATCATTTTGTTACTGTTTATTTATTAATAAACTTATATATTATTTTCATATACATTTTACTAATTTCCTTTCATCTCTCACGTTTCTATTATAGAGAAAGGGCAAATAGCAATGTTAAAATATCTCTGCTAATTCATTCCCTTTTTAAAAAATATATATTTTATTAATTTTTTTACAGAGAGGAAGGGAGAGGGATAGAGAGTTAGAAACATCGATCAGTTGCCTCCTGCACACTCCCCACTGGGGATATGCCCGCAACCAAGGTACATGCCCTTGACCGGAATCCAACCCAGGACCCTTGAGTCCGCAGGCCAATGCTCTATCCACTGAGCCAAACCAGTTAGGGCAATTAATTCCCTTCTAATGTGCATGAATTTCATGCACCGGGCTACTAGTAATAATAATAATAATAATAATAATAATAATAATAATAATGTTTTATTCTCAAGGAGCTTAATTGGATATCATTTTTATATATTAGCATATTGTCATGGAAGTTTTAGTTTTACACTGAAAAGCACGCCATTAATACCCTCAGCACCTATGACGAACTCTTTCTTCAAAAGGGGGCCTGTTTTGCAATGTCCACAGTGCTACAGAGCAGAGAGAAGTCAGGTAACTGCGTCCTCAGGTGCAGCCCCCACTACTCCTGAGTGAAACAGTTGCTTTGGCATGTTTGATTGCCTTTCCATTTCATACACTTAATGTTACTTGTTTTAGATCAGCATCCCCCTTTCTGTAAAAGGAAGGATAATTATGGAGATCATTGAAGGAATGTGCTATTTACATGGAGAAGGTGTAATACACAAGGACCTAAAGCCTGAAAATATCCTCGTTGATGACAACTTTCACATTAAGGTAAGCCATAATCCAAAGGCTGTAGAAGCTTGGGTGATTTTAGTTGTAACTCTTCACTGTGAGTCCATGTTTGTACATGGTGACTCTAAAGGAAGACCTGCCTCGGTTTCTCATGGTGACGGTGGTGCCAAGGACTGAAAAGAAAGACACAGACTTGATGGAGTTTATATTTTTTATGGATTTAGGTACTTTCATCTGCATTTTTTATGTTTCCTTTTGAAAACTCCAACTCTTTTCATCACAGGAAAGGAAATGAGAAAGGGATTTTGTGGTTGTTCACTTTATATTTAAGTAGGTGGGGTCAGCATAGCTAATTGGCTCTGGCAGCAGGGATCCAAGTGCAAAAATCTGAAAGGGGAAGAGGCCTAGGGGTAAGGACTGTGGGACTGCTTTCACAGACGTTCCTCTTTGCTAGAGGGTTCTTCTAACACTTCATCTTCGTCTTTGATGGGTTTTTATTCCTGTCTCAAGAGGAAAGTTCCTTCTTTACATAAATAACATATCTGTTATGTTAGAATCTGTGGGTTTTACATAACCACGTGCCAGAGTTTATCTGCAGATGCTGGATTCCTAGAGGCAGAAGTGAAACTGACACTGATTCTCGGTCACTGTCTTGTTCTGTCGTTTTGCCCCGCCACTTCTCTCTGTTTTTGTGTCTGATGTTGGTGTTTTTCTCTCTGCTTTTTGTCAGTTTTTCTCCTCCTTCCCCTCCCATCTTCTCTTAGGTTCAGTTGAGGCTACCAACTCAAAGCCAGTAGCAGCACAGCCCTATCCTCAGTGTCTTTGGGACCCTTGGAGACTAGCATCCATGGGCTTTTGGACACCGTTTTGGAAAATAGAAGGTGCAGTACCTCATCACTGTCTGCTATGTAAGCATGCTCAGAAGAAATTATTGTTTTTCCTCCAGAAATAGTTGGAAAACAATTGCAGAGTCAATGAAAAATTAGGACAAATGTGTTTTGTTGTTCATGTCAGAAATGTCTTCTGTTTCACCTCTTTTTCTCCCCTCCCACCAACTGCTCCAGCAGATTTCCTGTTTTTTTCCAGTTACATAAGAATTGAGATACCAGAACTTCACATGGAAATTTCTTAGGGAAGGTTTTCTAAATGACTAAGGAAATACAAAGTTTCTGAGTCTGTTCAGAAGTAGTTATTTTAACACTATCCACTGCAACCATTTCTGGAAAGTTCACTGTACCTCCAATCTATTGGGTGAGTCCCCAATTTCAAGACACATCTGATCTGCTTGCCATCTTCATAGAACAATCCCGTTGGTTTGATCACTTGCAGATAGCTGACCTTGGTGTTGCGTCCTTTAAGACGTGGAGTAAGCTAACGAAAGAGGAACACAATGAGCAGAGGAAAGTGGACAGTCTCTCTAAGAAAAACGGTGGCACCCTCTACTACATGGCGCCCGAGCACCTGAATGACATCAACGCCAGGCCCTCGGAGAAGTCGGACGTGTACAGCTTTGCCATAGTACTGTGGGCAATATTTGCCAACAAGGAGCCATATGAAAGTAAGACATTTATGCAGGAGTGGGATTTGGGTGGTCATCAAAATCATTAAATGAGACAATGGCCTTCAATGAAGTGAATTAAAATTTAATGGTTTGTTCATTTAATGTCTGTCTTACCCACTAGACTTTAAGGCTGCAAGGGCTGGGACCACATCTGATTTATTCCCTTCCATTTCCCAAGTATCTGCACACACAATGCCAGAAACATAGTAGGTGCTCAGTAAATTATTATTGCCTGAATGAATAATCTCAGTTTAGAAATCAGGGGCCACAGGACAAACAGGAGCCGTGATAATGCATCTAAGCTCAGGAGGTGCTGTGAAATTCCAGGACTCTTCCTGGACAAGAAAGCTTGCTGGCTTCTGCATGTGAGGACTTACCCTTTCATCCTATAAGGCATGCATGTTAGATGACTTGCATCCATTCACTCCTTCATTCAAGAGTTGTTTCATTTCAGAACATCTATGGGCATTTTAACCAGAATTGAGAATGTAAAGATGAGATAGACATGGTTCATGTAGAACAGATACATAAGTAGTCATTCTTCAGTATGTTAAGTGCCTAAACTAACAGACATTTTCCTACCCATTCTTCTTTGGGTGATTATGAGGTCCCCTGGTTCAATGATCACCTCTTTGCCCATGCCTCTCAAATCTCTTATCTCTAGCCCTGGCCTAGATATCCACTTGTCTGTTAGAACTATTCCATGTACCAGAGGAACCGCAAAGCAACATTCCCCCAGGCAAATTCATCTACCTGCTCTCCTGTAGCCCACTCAGCTTTGCAGCTCTTGTTATGTTCAGCGATGGCATCACCATCCATCTGCTGAGTCGCCCAACCAGAAACCTTAGTCATTCAGCCTTGTTCCTCATCTCCCACATACTATCAGACATCCAAACTTACGAAGTCAAAGTATATATATGATTCAAGATACACCTTCAGTCCACCCACTTCTTTCTATCACCACTGGACTCCATTTAGTCAAACCCTTCATATTTCTGCAGTAGGCTCCTCATAGGCATCCATCACTCACACTGCAGCCCAACTGGTCATCCCAAAAGAAAATATGATCGTCTCACTGATCTGTTTAAAAAAAAAATCTTACAAGAGACTCTGGGGCCTTAAAGATAAAGTTCAAATTCCTCAGTATGCAATAGTAGGCCCTTTCTGATTTGGCTTTTGCTTCTTTCTCTAGCTTTACTCCTCTTTCCTTAGGCAATATGCTCAGTCATACTGAACTACTCATGATTCTGGGATACATCATAATTTATGGAACCTCCAATCTATTTATATCCTACTTCCCTAGCCCGTAGTCATCCTCTCTGAGTCCTCCTTCCCCATTCCTTACCTGGATAACTCCTTATTTTTCTGGACTCCACAAAGCCTTCTCTGACCATCTGGTGAAGGTTGTGTTCTCAGAACCTTGTACTTCCTGAGTAGCAATTATCACTCTGCATTTTAAGTCACTCATTAATATTCCACCTGTTCTACCAGGAGGCAGCTTTCTTGTGAATTCTGTCTTTCATCTGCAGAAATTAAAATGTTGTGTGGCTCCTAGCCACAGGGCCCTTCTGCCCCTGTCGGAGGAGCAGCTTTACTAAAAGCATGTCCCAGGCAGAGAGAGATTAGTGGCTGGTCCAAGTTCTGTCACCTCCCTGCCCGAGAAGAGCAGGACCTAAAAGAAAGTCTAAACTGAGGCTCCTCTTTGCTTTACAGATGCTATCAATGAGCAGCAGCTGCTCATATGTATTAAATCCGGGAATAGGCCAAATGTGAATGACATCATTGAGCACTGCCCAAAGGAGATTATCAGCCTCATGAAGCAGTGCTGGGAAGCGGACCCAGAAGTGCGGCCAACATTTCGTGGTAAGGGCATCTTTTAGGACTGTGTACACTCACCGATGTGGCGGTTTTCCTAGTAAGATGTTGTCAGGAAGTTGCTTTGAGTCTTCAAAAAACTGAGTTCCACTTGTGATTTCAAACTGATTTTCTAGATTTCAAACATTTTTTTCTTTAATGAAAAGATGCTATCCCTCCCCAAAATTTAATTTTTTTATAATTAACTTTTTATAAATTGTGTTAAAAAATATATATCACATTAGTTAGCATTTTAACCATTTTTAAATGTATAGTTCAGTGGCATTAAGTACATTCACAATGTTGTGCAACCATCACTACCTCCATCCACAGAACTTTTCCATCTTCCCAAATTGAAACTCTGTCCCCATTAAACACTAATTCTCCTACCCCAGCCCTTGACAATTACCATTTTACTTTCTGTCTCTATGAATTTGACTACTCTGGGTTCCTCATTATAAGAGGAATCATACAGTATTTCTCCTTTTGTGATTGGCTTATTTCACTGAGGATAATGTCCTCAAGGTTCATCCATGTTGTGGCAGGTGTCAGAATTTTCTTTTTATTGTTGAGTGGTATTCACTGTATGCATATGCCACATTTTGTTTATCCATTCATCTGTTGATGGACACAACTTGGGTTGCTTGCACAGCCTTTCTTGTTTCTTAGCTTTATTTCTTTCCTTTCCCTTGTGTAGCTGGCATCTTTGGAGATGTATTTTGTCATTTCGATCAGGCCTATAGTGGAGGGAGAAGGAAAAGGCATGGATTTGTCCCATTCCTCTATGTTACTAATGATCTCGCTAAGATCCTAGAGGCAGAGGAAAGAAGAAAATTGGGTGAAGAAAAAATAAATAGTAGGAAATCACTTAGGAGCCTTTAAAGCATTTGCCCTCCTGTGTCTGCTCTGAGAAAACAGAAATGATCCCCACCTACCACTTATCACCAGAGGATTAGAAGGGTCCTTTGATTTAGTGCCTATTTTCTTATTTGCTCAGTTAGCCTAAATCTTCTCCTGGCTTGATTTCTTTCCTCTCATGCCTTTTTCACTTTTTAAAAACTGAAGTTCTTATTTTGAGATAATTGTAGATTTATATGCAGCAGCTGAGACAGAGAGATAGCCCATGTTCCTTTTACCTAGTTTCCCCCAATGAAACATCTGGTCAAACTATAGTACAGTGTTACAACTGGGATATTGGGAATGATACAGTCAGATACAGAGCATTTCCATCACAAGAGTCCCTCAGGTTGTCCTTTTATAGCTACACCCACCTTCCTCCCTAATCGCACTCCTTCCCCACTCTGGAAATCATTAAACTGTTCTCCATTTCTATAATTTTGTTATTTCATGAATGTTACATAAATGGAATCATAAAATATCTTTTGGTAATCTGTGGGATTGGCTTTTTGCCACTCAACATCATTCTTTAGAGCTTCATCCAGGTGTGTGTATCAGTGATTCATTGCTTTTTATTGTTGAGTACTATTCCATGGTATGGATGTACCACAGTTGGTTTATTCACTCCTTGAAGAACATCTGGTTTGTTCCCAGTTTTGGGCTATTAGGACTGAAGCTGCTGTAAATATTCATGTTACTGGGTTTTCTGTGAATAGAAGTCTTCGTTTCTCTGGAATAAATACCCAGCAGTGAAACAGCTAGGTTATGTGGTAGTTTTATGTTTGTTTGTTTGTTTGTTTTTAAGAAACTGCCAAACTGTTTTCTAGAGTAGTTCTACTATTTTATATATTCCCATCAGCAATGTGTGAGTGATCTAGTTTCTCTCCATCCTTGTCCACATTTATTGTCGTATTTTTATTTTAGTCATTCTGGTAGATGTGATGTAATATCTCATTGTGGTTTAAATTTGCATTTCTCTAATGGCTAATGACGTTGAATATCTTTTCATGTACTTATTTTCCATCTGTTTATTTTCTTTGGTGAAATACTGCTGTTAGGTCTGATAGAATAATTGAATCGATGCTCCCTCCCCTGGGAACTGACCTTTAGGCCACTTCACAATGGACATTTCACTTGCTTAGACCACATTCCACCTGCTATTATCTCTCCCCTCGGAGTTTCCCAGAATCCCGAACTGCACAGAGAATTCTCCTCCCAGAAAAAGCCCGCCTAGAGTCCTTTAAAAACCTCTGACTCCAAGTCCCTGGGGGCTCTAGTAAGATATATGGAGCCATTTTGGGGCTGAGCCCATTTGGTATCCAGAAAATCTAATAAATTCATAATTCTTCACCCCTTTTGGCCTCATGCATTCCTCCTTCGGCTACCCTAACAATTGCTTTATGTCTTTTGTCCATTTTTAATTGGATTGCTTATTTTTTTACTATTGAATTGTGAGTGTTCTTTATATATTTTGTATAGTATTCTTTTGTTGGATATGTGGTTTGTACATATTTTCTCCCAATCTACAGCTTGTTTTTTCATTCTCTTAGCAGGGTCTTTCAGAGTAAAAGTTTTTTTTTATTTCAATGAAGTCTAGTTTATTAATTTTTTTGTTTATGGATTGTACTTTTAATGTCAAGTCTAAGAACTGTCAGGGTTAGGTCCCAAAGATTTTCTTCTATGTTTTGTTCTAAAATTCTTACAATTTTACATTTAGGTCTGTGTTGTTAATTTTTTTTCTATGATTGTCAAGGAAAATTCTTCATTGCTAACAGAACAAGAGCACAGAACTAAATATTTGATTGTCTTTCTTGCCAGTTACTCCTTTTATATCTTACTAGAGGCCCAGTGCATAAAATTCATGCACGGGGGAGTGGGGGGTCCCTCAGCCCAGCCTGCACCCTCTCGCAATTCTGGATTCCTCAGGGGATGTCCGACTGCCAGTTTAGGCCTGATTGCCCCTAACCACTCTGCCTGCCTGCCTGATCACCCCTAACTGCTCGCCTGCCTGCCTGATCGCCCCTAACTGCCTCTGCCTCGGCCCCCGCCATGGTGGCTTCATCCGGAAGGATGTCCAGAATGACGTCCAGAAGGTTGTTCAGCTGTCCAGTCTAATTAGCATATTACGCTTTTATTATTATAGATTGGAAAACATGATCCATTTGGAGTTAATTTTTGTGTGTCTCTGTTGTTTGGTGCATATCTATTTAGGATTGCTATGTCTTGATGGATTGATCCTTTTATCATTATATAAGTGTCCCTTTCAGTCTGCAGTAATTATTTTTGCTCTGAAGTTTACTTTATTAAGTATTAATATAGTACCCTAATTTCTATGATATATCTTTTCTCATTTTCTTAGGTTAAACTGCCTATAATCATATATGAAGTGAGTTTCTTATGAGAGCATATAGTTGGGTTATGATTTTTTAAAAAATATTCTGTCAATCTCTGTCTTTCATTTGGTGTTTTTGGACTATTTACAGTTAATGTAATTACTGGTATGTTAGGGTTCACATCTGCCTTTTTGAGTTTTTTTTCTTTCTTTTTTTTTCCTGCCTTCCTATGGGTTCTTAAATATTTTTTAGAATTCTATTTTGACTTATCTATAATATCTTTAAATATAGTGTTTCTCTTGGATGCTGTAGGTATTACATAATCTATACATAATTGATCAGAGTCTACTAATATTATTTTACCAGTTTAAGAGAAGTATAAAAACTTTACTTCTCTTTACCTTCCTTTGTATATAATTGCCTTAAATATTTCCTCTATGTGCATTTTGAACACATGACAGTGTTACAGTTATGCTTCAACTGCCAAATATAGTTTAGAAAATGCAAGAGGAGAAAGAAAATCTGTTGTATTTACCCATATTTTTTATTGCTGTGTTGTGTCTTTTTCTTTTAAAAATATTTTTATTGGTTTTTAGAGGGGGAGGAAGAGTGAGAGAGAGAAACATCTATGTGAGAGTGAAACATGGATCAGCTGCTTGCTGCACAGCCCCCCATCAGGGATTGAGCCCACAACCTGGCCTGTGCCCTGACTGGGAATCGAACTGGCAACCTTTTGGTGTATGGGATGATGCCCAACCTACTGAGCCACACTGGCCAAGATGTGGTGCCTTTTTTCTAATACTGCTTCTGGCACCAAATGTTTCACTGTGTGTCCTAGACTTCAACTAAATTCTAACACTATCTACCCAGAGTTATTGTCAGACTCCACAGGTTTAAGGGCTTAGTCCTGCTGCAAAATTATCTCCATTTCAAAGATCAAATACAAATAGGCAACCCACACTTTTTCCCAGCTGGAATACAAATTCGGGAGTCCTCATAACACTCCCTCGATATGATAATTCACTAGGACAGTGGTCGGCAAACTCATTAGTCAACAGAGCCAAATTTCAACAGTACAACGATTGAAATTTCTTTTGAGAGCCAAATTTTTTAAACTTAAACTATATAGGTAGGTAGGTACATTGTTACTAACTTAATTAGGGTACTCCTAAGCTGGCCTTTGCTAAAAACGTCCTCAATCTGAGGGGTCGACCTCAGCGAATGTACCCCCACTTCTTCTAACACCACTCCTTCAAAATAGACTCACCCAGGCCAAAAACCGACTTCTGCACATGGGCCACGAAGTTTCAATCACACCGTATGTGTGCTCCCACGCGTGGTATTTTGTGGAAGAGCCACACTCAAAGGGCCAAAGAGCCGCATGTGGCGCGCGAGCCACAGTTTGCCGACCACTGCACTAGGACAACTCAAAGAACTCAGAAAAACATTTTACTTACATTTACTGGCTTATTATAAAGGATACAACTCAGGAACAGCCAATGGAAGGCATAAAGCAAGGTATCCGGGGAGTGGAGAGGGAGTGGAGGTACCACAGAGCTCCCATGCCCTCTCTGGACATGCCACTTTCAGAAACTCAATGAAGTCACTGACCTGAAAGCTCTCTAAACTCCATTGTTTAGAGATTTACATGGAGGCTTCACTAGGTAGGCATGATTGATTAAATCATTAGTGATTGGACTCCATGGAGGTATGGTAATGAAAGTTTCTTTTCAAAATTTTTTTATTTAATATATTTTTATTGATTTCAGAGAGGAAGGA